GAAGCCGCAGGTAATACTCAAGAGTGCGGGAGCGCTGAATTTAAACAGGCAAGGTTGAGCGTGGGCAGAGGGTCATTACCCTGTAATTTCAGCTCCTTAGACTCCGTGGTTCCCGAGGTAATAATTAGCCCGTAAAAATTTTCACTAGCCTGTAGGTGATACCCGAGAGCGCTGGATTTGAAGACAAGGTTGAGCGTGGGCAGAGGGTCATTACCCTAAAATTTCAGCTTCCTAGACTCCGTGGTTCCCGAGATAATAATTTACCCGTAAAAACTTCCATTAGCCCGTAGATGACACTCAAGAGCGCGGGAACGCTGAATATGTATTTTCAGGATCGTTCGTCGGCAAAGGGTCCCAACCCTAAAATTTCAGCTTCATGGACTCCGTGGTTCCGAGATAATAATTTACCCGTCAAAAATTTTCACAGAGCCGTACGTGTTGCCACGGGTACAAGAAGGTTGAATTTGAGCTTTCTGGGTTGCACGTGATCAGGAGACATACCCATAAAATTTTAGCTTCCGTAGTTCTCGAGATACTGATTTTACCCGAAAAACTTTTACGGTGCCGTATGTGTTACCCGCGCATACGGGAAGGTTGAATTTAAATTTGCCACGTTACCCGCTGGCGGGGAACACTATACTACAATTTCAGTCGCTTAGCTTTTGTGGTTCCCGAGTTGAAAGTGCGGGACAAAATGTGGGACATATACACACACAGATAGCCCCGTGACAATATGCGTTTTGTACTGCTGTTACACAGCACAAAATGCATAATGAGCAGCGCAAACAGAAGAGCAAAACAAAGTACGTAAGAGAGAAAAGGTCCTTTTCAGAGCCCAAAATTAGTCTTGAAATCCAGGAGGTCCCATAAGCATTGAAACAAACACAAGTCTTAAAACGGTACCCTTTAGCGGATGCTCACCAATTTTAAACTGTCTTCCAATTCATTCATATAATCTTCAACGGGGATGGCTATGTGAATGTGCGGATAAGTTGGCTGATATCAGCGTAACAAGAGCTTTTTTCTCAAAAAAAAAATTCTTAGGAACAGCTTAGTAAACTAACCATAAAGTTGTCCGGTCCACTACCCATAAACTGCTTCATCTTCTGTTCAAATAAGCCGAGATTGCCGATGCGCACTTTTGGATGATTCTTTAGCAGATTCATATTCAACGTTGGCCATCCAAAGCCTAAAAAAATTTCCCACCTTGCCCGGGCTACGTCTGACGAGACGGTTTGCCCAGCACCAAGAAAAACGCCGTCTGAGAAATTGCTCACCTAATTCAACCCCGACTGCTTACGGAACATCCGGAAACCCTATATCGAGGTCCCTTTCTCACCTCTGTGCTTCTGTGAATGAATCACAGAAGCAAAAAAAAAATTTTTTTAGCATTTCTAGGCGAAATACCTTCGCCTATAACTAATCAGCAAGACCACTTAGACAACAGATTTCCCGTGTTTCCCGAACGTACATGTGCTCAAACGTAGCTACAGCAACATCATGCTAACTCGGGAATCAGAAAAGCTAGAAAGCTGAAATTTTACAGAGACGTTCCCTGTCCACGTAGGTCTTAATGAGCTTCAAATCTGCCCCCGGGCACGAGTGGTACCCACGTACAGATCCGTGGAAGTTCTTCGCGGTATGATGCTTTTAATTCCTCGTTACATTCCTGATGCCTGATCGCCTAAAGGCGATAAGGTGTTTCTTACATATCTTGCCTTCTCGGTGTCTATTAAAATTCTCTTTGCATGTATCACTGCTACCATCAAAAACATCACAATCATCGATAACAAAATTTTGTTCATCTGAATGACATATATAGCTAACTGGTGAGCACAGTAATGCAACATGAACGTTGATATTTCACCATATTTACGCTGCAAAAAGCCGTTTGAAAATTTCTGGCCCATTTTATCTTGACAAAAATTGCACAATCTGCCAACGAACAATCAGAAAGTACACGGAGACCG